GATAATGAGAATAACACACCGTATGATTTCCTCCATGCACACACACACACACACACACACACATACACACACGTTGCTGCGTCCTTACAGGGCTCAGGAATAAAAGAATCAGATGAAGAAATGGAGGGATATAGAGGTTACCATGGAAACCTGTCTGGTGGAGGTTGTGTGTGTGCATGCGATTGTTTGAGGGGTGACTGCCGGCTTCATGCGGCGGTATTTTAGTCATCCTCCAGGTGGCCAATCACTCAGAGAGAGATAGGGAAAGAGAGAGAGAGAGTTAGAGTTTTGGTATAATAGAGGTTAATGGGAGGAGAAGTGAGAGAGTTTTTTTGCAGCTAGAACAAGAAACACCTGTTACTGGTCACAGTATTCTGTAGGTCTGCCAGGTAGTGACCCTGAGTTGCCTGATAGGATAGTCAGCTGACACTTTCTTTCTCTCTGCACTGATCTACCTTTTCTGATTCGCTCTAGCAAAAAATACTCCAGCCCCAGAATTGGCCCTTCCCCACACACCTCCACTTAAAGGTGAATCATACATACTTTGATTCCTGATGTTTCTCAAATTGTATGCAAATGAAGTACATTATATATATATATATGAAGCACATTTAAAGGTCCCATTTCTTCACTTTTCTTTAAATAAAAGAGTGTACTGTAGCATGCAAATACTATTACATTTAAACCGTTGTGCAAACCTTATATATATATATATATATATATATATATATATATATATATATATATATATATATATATATATATATATATAAAATCAGAATTTATAAGGAGCACTTTAGCCTGGACTGCATTTTGAATGAGGTACCATACAGGGCCAGAGCTCATTTATGTCTCAAAGGCACAGTAACAAAATTGACTGTTTAATGCCAAGGAACAGTTTGCAAAGATGGTCATGTAAAAATAATTATGAAAGTTTTTGGTACCTAAACCCACACAAATGTTGAAAAAAATAAAAATGCAGGAAAAAAGTAGAATATAGACCCTTTAAAACAGCATGTTCAATAAAATTCTGTACAATCACCACAAACAAACCCAACCACTGCTGCTGTCCACTGCACTAACACACACAGACATGCAGTATATACATGTAGTAGTGTGCAAAAAGTCACCCTTAATTTCAATAACTTCCAGTCAAAATGGCTATTAATTAAGAAGCCTACAAGTTATTAATCTTCCAGGAGATATTTCTGACAGAAATACCAGTTTTTCAGTATTCAGTTTTGGGAGACTTGCCTACAGTTTTTTGTAAGAAGTCTGTAGGGGAATTTTTCCATGCTTAATAGGTTAGTACCTCCAAAGTTCAGTCTTAGAAGTTGGTTGCATTTTCTCCTTTTTGCAATCCAAGTCATCCCAAACACATTCAATGATGGTCATGTCTGGGATCTGTCCAGTTTCGGTGTTCTAGTACAAATCACAATGTTTTAGTGCACATTTTCTTCTTTTTTTTCCTCCTAACAGCTTCTTGACAGCTACACATCCTTTCAGACCCATAGTTTTGAGTTGTCTTCTCACAGTGGATTTTTTCAGATCTAAAGCAAGAGTGGAGCTTGATTTCACTTGTTTTCCTGTGACTTTCCCCTTCCTTATGCAATTGGATTATCTTATGTCTAGTTTCCTCAAAAATGTCACCTGAAAAACTTATACTTAATGGCTGGAAATGGAAAAAAATGAGGAAAATCTTGACTTTTGCATGGTGCTGTACATCTGGTAAATTAGAAAGCAATCTAGAAGCTTTGTTCTTAGCAGCTTGGTAGAACTCTTTTATGATGCCTAATGAGTGTTGGCCTGCAAATTTTGGAGCTCATTGGTACTGAAGGGTATTTACCTTGCCTTTCAGAGTCAGTGGTTTAGATCAGATAAGCCAGAATGTATTACAACATGGTACAATCTAACAGGGAAAGAGAGATCATTTGAATCAAAGTTATTAGAAAGACTTTCCGACATCCTAATCAGGCTCCTGTAGACTAGGCATTTCGAGTGTAGATTTGATCAGTCCAGCGGACGAGGACAGGCTTACGCAACAGCTTGCTAAGAAGGAAGTCTGGAATTCTGAGCCACAGAACTGAGATCATGGCAGCTGAAATTTCACAGCACAGAGTTCCGAGAGGTAGATGAAATTCTGAGAATTCAGTACAGGTGGCCAATCTAGATACCAGCCCTGTATCTAAAAACCAGCTTTACAGAACACTGGCAAAAATTCTATTTAACCTAATGAGAAACTGTAACATGCAACTCAGAATACAGAAATTTAGAGTGTGTTATTATTGCAAATGATATTCACTTTGCATGCAGGTGAAAGGTCATGCTGTTGGGATAGATCAGTGTAATTGAGCTAGTGTTAGCATGGTGCCTGATATCTGCATAGCTCCAACTAGCTCTAGCACCATGGCCCCGCTTGATAATGTAGTATTTTAAACTGGAATCTGAACATTATGTAGTAAATCTAAACTCCAATCTGAATGTATTAGGTTGAATGGGATTTTTCCCAGGGTTCTGTAAAGCTGTTATGCAGATCCGGTGTTTAGAACATGGATAGATCATTTAGGTTTTTTTTACAACAGACTTTCAGACCTCTAATGGGCAAAGCAAGGGCAACATTGAGAGCAACCAAGAGTCCAGAGGAGAATGCATCCTCCTCTTCTGGGCTGCACCAGATAGCAGAGTTATGACACAACTAGTACTAATTTACAGTAAGTTTCAGCGCAGTTATAATTGTCTGAAGTTGACGAAGATAACAGAACTCAGGCCAGCGTGGCTGGTGGGACTGTCTTGGCCGCACAGCCTGTTCTGTCCCCTCTCACTTTGTCAGTTTGTCTGCTTGAACGTTCTGAATGAAAAGGGACAGCTGTCATTTTAATATTCGCCCGCTCTGAGCTTTGCTGCTCCTCTGGCCCCTCAAAGACAGAACAAAAATATGGAAATCATGAATAGAAATGTAAATTGGGACAGAATATGCTAATTCTGACCGGTACCTGAAAGCCATCAGAAATTACTCTACAGTCCACCCCCCTCCCCCACCCCCCAAAAAAAATCTCCATAGCGACTGGGCTAAGAGTTCGTCTTGCTCCATCAGTCTCATTTAATAAACTTTATGAAGGAAGACTAATAACATTCTCGCCGGATGTGAAGAGCTGCAACAGCCTCACGGGGTGCACAGGGTGACCTAGACTAGCATTTTAAATCACATAGAGTGCAAAATCCATCATTTGTCTTACAGTAAGAATCAATTTAGTGTTTTACATTGAAGTGTTTTTATGACTTTTGGGAGTTTCTAGATTTCTGGCGTTTGGACTTAATATTTAGAAAATTTTATCACAGACGCTGTTGAAATATGGTTTTAGACTCTAGATTTACTTTCAAACAACGTAAATTTTCATCACATTTGATGAGTTTTGTCTCTTAAAATATGACTTCAGACTTAAGATTTACTTAGACATTTTCATCATGTTTGATGGAATTTATTTATTAAAATATAGTTTTTGACTTAAGACATTAATGTTAAAACATGGTTTCAGACTCAAGATTAACTTTAAACAATAGACATTTTTATCATAATTAATGGGTTCAGTCTGTTAAATTATGGTTTTAGACAGAAGAGTAACTTTATACAAAATAGATTTTCACTACATTTGATGGGCTTTGATTGTTGAAATATGGTTTAGACTTAAGGTTTACTTTATGTAATAGGACTTTTCATCATGTTTGGACTTTATCTTTTAAAATGTGCATTTAGACTTAAAGACTTACTTCAAACAATAGAGATTTCCATAATGTTTGAGCTTTTAATGTTAAAATATGGGTTTACACTTAAGATTTATTTTCAAACAATAGGAATTTTCATCATGTTTGATGGGCTTTGTCTGTTACAATAGTCATGTAGACTTCAATAATTGGAATTTTAATCATATTTAATGGACATTGTTAAAATGCAGCTTTAGACTTAAGCAACTGAAATTTTCATCACATTTATTGAACAATGTCTGTTAAAATGTGGTTTTAAACTTCAACTTTCCATCACATTTAATGGATGTTGTCTGTTAAAATATGGTTTTAGGTTTAAACAATTAAAATTTTCACCACATTTAATGGATGTTGCCTGTTAAAATAGGGTTTTAGGCTTAAACAACTGAAATTATTATCACATTTATTGGACATTGTCTGTTAAAATATGGTCCTAGACTTCAAATGTTCATCACATTTAATGGGCATTGTTTGTAAAAATAAGGTTTAGACTTGTCTGTTAAAACATGGTTTTAGATCTAAACAATTGACATTTTCATCACATTTAATTTACTATTGTCTGTTAAAATATGGTTTTAGACATACAATTTACTTTAAAACAATAGAAATTTTATCATGCTATGTGCATTTTTTGTTGAACCATGGATTTAAACTTGAGCTTGGTCTGTTAACCTTTTAATGTAACATATACAGAATTGTACATTGAATTAGCAGTACTCAAGACTACAACTTAATAATAACTCAATTTTTGTTGTTTTTCATGTAGTCACTGCATATGTGGACATACAAAGGAGCTTATGGGGTTAAACTGTTAACTAATGTACAAAATACTGTATTAACTTTTAGGCGAGATTACATAATGACATCAGAAAAAAAAAACATGACACGTTTGAGAAGAACAGGCTGTGTCACTGACAGGGAGGGGTTTGCACAAGATGCTGTGTGTGGACGACTGAACACTTCAGACAACAATTCTCATGCAGCGTGACAGCTTTTATATGATCCTAATGATCACACATGCACACGCAAGCAGCTATAGTATAAATCCAACAGGGTGCCACCGGGTTCATAAGACTGAGAACAGATTTGACTCACCCATGGTAGTTGCAGTCAAGCATGATGCATGCCTACAGGTTGCAAATGATCACTGTGCATACAGCATATGACAGAAAAGCAAAGAAGATAGTTGCTATGTAATTATGCTGCCACAGAACAGATTAAAAACAGCTTTTGCTTACCTTTTGCCCACCCGTATGTCTGTGTAATGTGTGTGCGATAGTGTGGATGTAGATGGAAAAGGGGGCTTCTCGCTTTCTCTCTCGCTCGGGGGTCAAGTTAAAGCATGATTCCTCCGAGTTCCTCAAGGGTTCCTCTGTGGGTAGAACCACTTCTTTAAAGTCAAGGAGATCCTATGGTAGTCCTGCAAGGTCCTCATCCTCAGCGGTGCCCACAGCGAGACACACAAACATTCACAAACACACACACACACACGCACACACAGTAGAAGAGGGGTCTTCACTGAACGTGGTAAATAGAATCCCCTCCAAAAGCTTGCAAAATGTTCCAGTAATGTTCCCGTAGTGTTGGTCTGATGTGCTAATGCACAGTTAAGCTGTGATGAGGCTTCAGGATTTCTTGTGTTCTTCTCCAGTGTTTCAGTGCGACCAGTGGATCCCCACTCTCTCTCTCTTTCTCTCTCTCTCTCTCTCTCACTCTCTCTCTCTCCTGTCTGCTATCTGATCCAGTGCTTCAGTTTTTTCACACCCTCTCTCTCACTGTTGCAGTCTCTCCCCCTCTCTCTCTCTGAAGTTGGCATTTGCAGAAGCTGGCCTCATATGGATGCTACCACTTCAAATCATTTCAGTTTATGCAATCGCAATGAGTAACGTACACCATTTTTCGTTTCCACCAGCCACTTTGGATGAACCCAGGAGCCCTTTAGACACCTTTCACAAATCAAAATGTGATATAAACTTGTTTAGTGCAAAATATTTTTAATTGCCTGCAAGCATTCAGTCTTTGTAATAGCATACACTATTAAAAACCATGGTTCTTCCATGGTTCTTTAGTAAAGACAATGGTTTTATCTAGATCAGTTAAAGAAACTTATGCATGCTTACATAGTTTTTTGGGGGATTTTTTTTTTTTTCAATTTTCTCCCCAATTTAGTCGTATCCAGTTCCACATGTTGGTTAGGACGCCAACCACCGCATCTTTTCAAACTGCCGCTAACGCAACATCGTTGGGCACCTGAACACACTTGGAGGAGAACACTAACTGCCAGTTTTGTTACATTAGCCCACAGATGCTGCACTGCATTTTTGTGCAGATTGTACGTCATGCCACTTGTGACAACATTATTTAACAAGACTCAACAAAAAAAGCTACAGAGCCCTAGCAAAGACCCATAATATTCAAACAGAAAATTCATGAAACCACAGCTAATTATCCCTTGACAGAGAGATAAGGAAGGTAAGAGAGAAGCAGTCACTTGAAAAAAAGTTGCTGGAAGACATTAAATCAGCAGGAACAACAGTTACATAAAGAACAATAAGCAACGAGCTGCACCACAATCATCTCCATTCCGACACCCCACATGAAACTCCTCTGCTGAAAGACAAGCACAGAGATGCACATCTGCATGCAAACATTTAGACAAATCAGAACTGTTTTGGAACAGTGTACGCATGTTCAGAGAAAAAAGGGTTTGAAAGTGTGTTTCCAGGAACACCATTCATGATGTGGGACTGCTTATCAGCAAACACTGCTGGGACATTACACATCATCAAAGGAAACATGAATGGAGCGAAGTACCAGGACATACCGCCAAGTAACTGGATCTGGGGAGAAGATGGACATTTCCACAAGACAATGACCCCAAACATACAGGCAACATAACTCAAGGTGAGTTTTTAAAAAAAGAAGGTGAAGGTGCTTGTGTGGCCTAGCCAATCTCCTGACTTGAATCCTATAAATGTGTGGAGGATATTGGAATGGGATTCATCAGAGGGACACTTGTAACTTTGGGGAACGGAAGATGTGCCAAAACCGAACCACAATGCAGCAAAAAGTTAATTATTCTTACTATAGACATCTCAAAGCTGTAATCTGCATTGGCTTTGCAACAGAGTATGAATATTATACGTTACATTATAACTTGTGTCTAAATACTTTTATTCTGTTTTTGTAAACATATCTTTGTTTATGCTAAAGAATGCATACTTTTTATGTTTGCAAGTGCAAAGTCAAAAGACATTACATTTGCAAATTTCAAGGGCATATATGTAAATATATTAAATAACAAAAACAAAATACTAGTTTCACCTATGTTTCTTCAGCACAGTTACTGCCAAAAGTCACCTGAAAGACAGATGTGTTAATGTAATATAGGTTATTCACATGGAAATGATGATGATGATGATGATGATGATGATGGCACATTTGACTTTTTTTTTTTTCATTGTATGAAAGGAGTTACAGCAAAGGTTATATATGTGTTTGTTTGTGTGTGTGCAGGGCTCTTATGAATAATCTTTTTGAAGAGGCTGACTCTGTGGTCCTGGTAGCACACGCAATAAGGGATGATGACAGATCGAGGACATTTTACACGTGCACACACACACACACACATACAGTCTAATCAGTCATGCCTGCTCACACTACCTAATTAATCTTACTCTGTATGTGTGTATGTGTGTATGTTTGTGTGAGATATGATCATAGTTGACCTACTGTATGAAGCTGTACTGACTTTCTGGGCACAAACTTAAACGGACTGGTTCATATTACGACAAATCGCTTTACTATTTTAATTGCACACATAGACGTGAACTTCGCTCTGCACTTTGCTTGGGTTTGGCTCACTGTGATGTTGGCTTGGGTTGCAGGAATGGCAGAGGCTGATACTCTTTCAAGTAGCAGGTTTGCTGCTTGCTATGTTTGGAACATTGGACAAGTCATAGAAGACCCTGTTATTGAACTTCGGTAGGAAACATACTCGTGTTGTCAACAGGTGAAACCCTAGTTGAACCATATGCCCAAGCCAACAGCTACCATAAATTTCTACGGCTGGTGTGTGGCTGTTTTGAACTACAGTACAGGCTATTTATGCCCTTGTCTGGCCAGAAAATAATGAAAAATACTTGTTTAATGTCACTCATGACATAAATTATTCATTGTAATTCATCTTGTACTGTTGAGATCTACATAAACACGTGGGTCAACAAGATCGTTGCAAGTATTTGGGTATTTTTGAGCATGTTGACAGGTCCTAATTCAGCTCAGAACATTGAAGTTACAACCTTAACAAATAAGTAGTAGCTAGTATCATATTATAATAATGACAAAGTGCATTTATAAGTATATATAAATGTTTTCATTAATTACATTTTATGTGAAATAAATAGAGCTGTCTTGTGGTGTGTGTCTCCTTCAGGGATGAAAAAAAAATGGAAAAATGTTTATGTCATCCCCAAAAATGTCATTGGAGGGGGAATAGAATATCCTGTTGTCCTGCCATCAGCATTCTTGAATAATACTTTGGAATAATTTGTAATGAGTTACAGCAACTCAATAGCACCACCCACTTCATTGGTCAGGGGTTGATGAATGTGTTCATAGAGTTTATAGAGATTATTTGACACTGGATGTGAAGAATGCAGGGTGATTTAGTGACTCAAAGTAACTCTAGGGGCAGATATGTTTGGTTTGAAGGTTAAAGGTCAATGAAGGGTAAGGTATAGGTTACCAAAGGAGGGTTACTGATATATGTACTGACCATATTCAAGTAAATTTACTTAATAAACGACTGAAGAAATAGCTTTCAAAAGCCTGGATTACTTTTTCTAAATAAGCAGCCTGATTAAAAACTGGTAATTGTGGGCTGACACTGATAGCTAATATTGTTCATGTACTGTGCTGTGAAAAAGAATCCACCCTCTCATTTATTTAATTTTCAGTCAAATCAGGAAATAGAAGAAAATGCAAAAAATTTCACAGAAGCCTCAACATTTACATATAATATCAGAAACTTCTGTATTTCATGTGTCCACCCTTTACCTTTATAACAGCTTCAGTCATTTTCGAGATATTTGCTTTCAGTTCAGTCTTAGAAGTTGGTTGCATTTTCTGCTTTTCACAATCCAAGTAATCCCAATTACATCAGTTCATAAATCCTTGCTCCATATCTTAGATGTCTAGCACAATAGTCCAACATCACATAAATTTCTGGCCTTCCAGTATATAATAAAATGATTCATCATATATTGAAACATCAGCCAGATCTAAACATCTGTCCAGTGCTGAAAACCTTTTAAGCAATTATTTGCAGATACTAATGGAATTCTGGCATCAGTCTAAATAAAAACCTGCTCAAGTTCTATTAAGTTAGTCTTTTATTCCAATCAGAAGTTTCCCAGAAGCATCTTGGTGTTGAGATTGTCTTAACTGGTTGAGAGAGCATTCAGTGTGATGCTCGCTCTACCGTTTAAGAACCTCCTTTGTGCTAAGGTGCTTTTGGGAAACCCAGCCCAGATCCTCTGAACTAGTCCATCTGTTATAAGCACCCTTTTTTGTTTGAGCTCAATTATCAACAGTAAACATTTGAAAGGAAGACTCATAGCCAAGCGGCCAATAAGCAGATGACCGAGGCGAAGGACACACCTACACAAATACTCTTAAAGATACTGACAAATTGACAAAAGAGAAAGTAGATTCCTCTTTAATGGATGAACCAAATGGGTTGTTTGACTTACAAAGTGAAGATAAGTTGACATTGAGTGCAATTGTATTGTACGTTACTGTTTAAAACTGTAAAAAATCACTGTTTTCAATCATCTAAAACCAATTTTGTTGCAGATATGTGCATAAAATGATATTAATTATAATAAGATGCTGCTGTTTTATATGTTGCAAATAATTTATAAGAAATTGTAAAAACTAAGATTTTTTACAATGAACAGAGCTGCTGTTGTGCCATAATTAAGACAATTAAATGATCTGTATCACTTTGAGAATGACCTTACAATAAAATTAATAGCCATTCAAAGTCATTTTGTGATAAGAAATTACTATAAATAGATAAATACAGTGTAATATTTAATAACACTTGCTACTTTGTTTTATTCTCAGAATACTTTAAATTGAGAATAAACCACACGTTCATACTTTGGTGTCTATTTTATAACTTTTCAGTTCACATTACTCTGTATAGGTTATTATTGAATAACATAATAATATGACCAGCGATTCCACACTTTTGAATGGTAGTGTTGTGTTGAGGAAACTAAGTCTGTTCTATTCTATTAGACTGAATGAAAATGTGTGGCACAGTTAAATTAAGCTCATACAATGTTTTATTTTTTGAGTGAATATATTCAGAAATGTTCTCGGCTTGACGTTACTGGAGTAAAATCACTTACACCCGCCACTCCATCACAATACCTTTTATAAGGAGTTATGTATGGCAAGTAAAGCGCTGGGGTTCCCTGACAATTCCCTGAATAGCATGAAAAGGTATGCTTTCAGGATGACATAATGCAGGAGAAGGAGTCAGTCAGCCAAAGTGCTGTCATTTCACACACATCAGGGAGATGCTGAGAGGTTTGTGTATTGGGACATTGTGAATAAATTACAAGGCTCAGGCTCCTCTAGATGATGCAGCATGGACAACCCCAGCCATGCAGGCGTGGCACTTTTCCAAAAAGTGCACTCACATTGCAGACATTACCGACCTCCACCACTACCTTTCCCACAAGAGCTCACTAAATATCTGATACACCAGTACAG